ACACTCAGTTAAGAGTCTACACTGGGAGCATCGCTCTGTGTGAGACCCACACCAGCTGCAGGGAACCATAAGAAATCCAGAGGCCTCAGATAATCTGCCAGATCTCTGTGCCACCATCAAAAGGAAATTTCGAAAATATTGATCAACATCTACTTGTAAACCAGTTCCCACCCACTACAATCTGGTTCCCGCCTACTCCTGCCCACTGCAAACCAAGATGATCAGGACAGACTAGTACACACCTGGGGCAGGTGTTCAGGAGCTTCTGATCACAGGTGCACTCAGTCACTCACACTGCCCTGTGCGCCTCAAGGAACCGTGAGGAAAGGTCACTTCCCGCATTATATTTTAACTCTGACACTTGATTGTCTTTAAAATAAAGTACAATGAGTGGGGCGTGGTGGCCCAGACCTTTATCCCAGTGCTTGAGAGGCAGAAGCAAGAAGATCTCTGTGAGTTTGAGGCCAGACTGGTCTGTGTAGCAAGCTCCAATCTAGCCAAGACTACAGAGTGAGACCCTGTCTCAAAAAAAAAAAAAAAGGTGATTATTTAAAACCTGCCCCAGATCAGTGTTGAATTATTCATTCGCCACTTGTGAATGGAGCCTGCAGGGAACTGACCCAGCTTCTTGCTAATGCAGAGCAGCCCTGGGGACCTCTCGGAGAAGCCACAGTCAATTACCCTCATGGTCCTGCTCAGAGAGAACAGTTCTCCTTTCAGGGGAGTAAGGCCTGGGCGGGACAGAGCCCCAGGCTCAGGGCCAGGGGTGTGAGGTGACTGTGTGGCCGCTGTGGCCAATGCTTTCATCTCCATACACAGCCGCCAGTGAATGGAGCCTCTCCCTTCCAGGGGAAATCCTCAGGCCTCCATTGTTTGCACTCCTCCCTCTTAGCCTTTTAAATCCACTCCTCATCTCTCTCCTGAAATGACAACCTATGTGGTCTCAAGCTTGAGCATCTTGCCAAGGCCCAAGGAGAGGGAAGGAAAGGTGCTTAGATTTGAGATGGACCCAGGAAGCATACCAAGAGGGACCCAAGACCAGCTGATATGGAAGGACTGCCAGTTCCCCATCCCACCGCCTCTCAGGATAAAACACACATGCACATGCGCACATACACACATGCATGCACACATACACGTGCATGCATAGAGACACACACACACAGTATGAAGAACAGGGATAGACACCTCACCAGTGGATCCTGCCCAGCTCATGAGAGCTCAAAATGCCATTTGTCTTTAAAAGGCGGAGGATATGGCTTAGTTGTTAAAACACTTTCCTTGTATGCATGAGGACCTAAGGCTAATCTCCAAAATTCAAATTTGAAAGGAAGAGGAGGAAGAAGAAGGAATAAGAGATGAAAAAGAGGAAGAGGAAGAAGAGGCAAGCGTGGTAGTGAAGCACCCTTGATCTCAACACTTCTGAGGCAGAAACTGGAGGATCACAAGTTCAAGGCTAGCCTGGGATACAAGAGAGCCCAGCTCAAGGAAAGAGAGAAGAGGGAGGGAGAGTAGGAGAGAGTGGGGAAAGCCAACAGATGTAGGGCCATGAGAGGCTGACTGAACAGCTGGCTCCTTGGAGAAACATGGTCATCGGCTGACCTGGTTCCTACATAATCCGCTGCCTCTTCAGCCCAAAGCCAGGAAGCAAGGGTTCAGGACAAGTGGGTCTTAGAACCTGGGATCAAGGCGAGGGGAGATGTCTCGATTGCAGTAAACTCCTCACAGACTCCCCTACGGCAAAGAGAGGTGGGCAGGGCTAGCTGTAAGACTCCAGGGCAGTGGTTCTCAACCTTCCTCATGCTAGGACCCTTTAATTCAGTTCCTCGTGTTGTGGTGACCCCAACGATAAAATTATTTCATCGCTATTTTATCTCCATGATTTCGTCACTGTTATGAATCTTAATGTAAATACCTGACATGTAGAACACCTGGTATGTGACCCCTGCAGGGATCGCCACCCACAGGTTGAGAACTGCTCTAGAGGCAAGCAGGTCCCGGCTCCGGGGATGCTGCAAGCCTGATTTCTCCTCTTTCATCACCCGCTCACCTTCCAGCGCCCCTAAGGTCCAGCAACCAGAGCCATGATGAGGCTTTCCCCTTGAAGCTGTATGCTGTATATCTGATGGCCACACTGCAGCCACACTGGCTGCGAGCCAGGCGGCAGATTGGCAGTTGCTGCTTTAAGAAAAGCTGAGGTCAGCAAGAGCATGAGGAGAAGGTGAGACAGCCTGTCCAGGCACTGACACTCGAGACACTGAGATACAGAAACCAGACGAGGTGTGGCCTGCAGAAGAGTCCAGGCACGTGTCCACATGCACACACACCTGCCTATGTATGTGTGCCAGGTGCGCAAACACATGAGAGTCTCACACAGGTGTGTGGGTGCACTCTACAATGCTTAGAAACAGCGACGAAGCTCACCTCTCCTTACCCATGACCAGTCACCATCACGAAGAAACAGAGAGAAGAGAATCAAGTCCGCGGATAGGGAAAGAGAAGCATCATCCAGAACAAGCAGATTTCCACATCCGTGTTCCACAAGGGCCAGGACGCTCACATGTCTGGGAGAACGTGCCTTTCCCACCAGGCTGGCCGCTAATTGCCTTCAACGGTTTTCTCCCAGAGCAGTGGGTGCTTCTTCCAGGCAGAAGCCTGCGCAGGTCTGGCATTGACGTTCACCAGATTTTGTTATTGCATTCGTCTCGCGGCTTTAAAACAGTAGCAAATATGTGCGATTTATTTAAACAACACTGGGGAAATTAACGCCGCGCAAACGCTTCCTCAGCAAATGAAGATAAAGCAGGGTTTTTAAGCGGGTGTGTGAGAGGCTCTTGGAGCTTCCAGTCTACAGTTCGGCCTTGGCAGCAGCAGCTACTATGAAAGAGACTCCGCTGTGTGAGGCAGCCTGGTGGGCTCTGCCTCACCGCACACTCAGAGCACTGGGGACAAGTCCCAGAGGCTGTCCTTCGGGAGAGGGCCAGTTGCTCACATCTGGCCATCTCAGCAGATGTGCTGTGGATGAGAACAGTCTAGCAGGTCCGGTGGCCGCAGAGTTGTGGTTTCAGCTGTTCTGGGGTCAGAGGCGTGAAGATCACAAGCCCAAAGGCTGACTGAGTTATAGAGTGAGCTCCTCTCTTAAGATGAGGAAGAGGAAGGGGAACAGGAAGGAGAAGAAGAAAGGAAGATGGGTGCAAATCGTATGTGGGTCATGGGATGAAGGCTTCCCGTGGGTTATTCCCGCAAATGGTACCGGAGTCAAGTGCCCCACGCTTTACCACCCGTGATTGTGTGCCCAGATCATGAGGAAGTGCCACATCTGTCTCCCCAGAGGTCTCTGCAGCTTGCCGGCCCTGAAGGATGGCAACAATCCCTTCCAGCAGCTCACTAGTGGCTACCCGTGACTACTACGGGTCAAGCTGGCTCCTTGTCCAGCAACAGCTGCTGTGGAAGTGTCAAGTGTACCCGCCTCCACCCCAGGACGCAGTGCCTCACCCCCAACTCCAGGCCTCCCGAGACCGACCCTGGCCACTGGTGGACCAGCTTCCTTTTCGGGATGTTCACCCTTCCATTCATGACCACAGTGTTGGAGTCTACTGAGCAGTGAGTCCATCTTCCATAAAGTTGCAGGGATGGCCCCAGTGAAACTAACTTCTGACTCACTGACTTATTCTCTCCCTGCAGCCCGACAGAATCCCCCCAGGCCTCCAGAAGCCCGATCACCCCTGGCCTGGCTCCTGAAACCATGAAGCAGCCGTCAGTCGTCCATCCTGGCCAGGCCAACACGAGGGCCCCGTCCTGACCTAGCAGAACCACAGCAAACCCAGCTTCAGTGGCGCTAGGCCAGAGCCCCACCCACCCACCCCACCCTGTGAGCTAGGAAGGCTGCAGTTAGAGCCCTTGCTTAGCACACACAAGGCCTGAGTTCATCAGGTGAGTCCAGCACCTGGTACTCGTGAGCCTGGCCATGAACACATGTGTCTGAGAACCAACAATGTCCTTCACCCAAGGACTCAATAGATAGAAGCATCAAGCATGGCCAGGAGATGGCCAGGCCTGGTACTGAGGAATGGGTGTTTCTAACAAGCCCCTTAGTGTACAGCTGCAAGTGTGGGGCCAGCCTGAAATGCAAGCCCTGCCCCCTCCAGCTCCCCATAGATTTAAAAGACAACGGGGGGAGCAGGGAGACTGAGGTTCCCCTTTCCATGGGGATATGTATCTCCTCCAACCCCACTGCACACCCCAGTGAATGCCACTCCACAGGACTCAGGGCTCCAGACATGAGAGCTGACACTTGGGAGGCAGAGGCAGGAGCATGGCATAAATTCGAATGAGTTCCAAATCAGCTGGGACTACAACATGTAAAGGTGTCTGTCCACAGGATGGATGCTCAGGCTGTCTGTTCATGGGGCTGACACTGAAATTGTGTCTTCAGCTGACACTGAGGCTGTCTGTCTGTCTGTAGTGGGTGCTAATCCACGGAATAAGTGCACAGGTTCATCCACATTGGAGATGAACTTTACCTTGTCGGTTTGGCAGGGTGAAGGGTGTATATGTCACTTTAATTTGCGTTCTTGATTCATAGAAGATGTCTACTTGTTTATGGATGTTCGGCGCCTTTTGTGGCTTGTTTGGCACATATCAATGCATGTTCTTTTCTTATTTTGAGAGAAATTATTGATTTACAAAAGCTGTTTATATATATAGGGCTAGCAACCCTTTGTGAGATTTCTTTCGGATTCAGTTGCTTAGCACAAAGCCGTGGGTTCCATCCCCAGCACCAAAAGAATTTAAAAACAAAAGAAACCCCTTTGCTATGGTCCATTAAGTTGCTATGTAGACTCCTTTTTGTGGTTTCCACTTCTAATTTCACGAAAAAAGACCTTCACCCTTTTCTCAATGTCCCCCACTCTTCCACACCAATAAGGAGTGGACACAGACGCTCCTAACGGGCCTTTGTGTAAAAGCCTGACCTGATATCTCTCACTCTTCTTCCTCAGAAAGGAAAGACAGCGGCCCTGGACCCCTCTGAGTCCCCAAAGGACACACTGCTGCCGTGGCCCCAGCACCAGAGCTCCAGCGGACTGAGGAGGCAGAAGCGTGACTGGGTCATCCCGCCCATCAACGTGCCGGAGAACTCCCGTGGGCCCTTCCCCCAGCAGCTCGTCCGGGTAAGTGGACCAGCTGTTCTTAAGGTTGGTCTGGGCCCTCCAGAACCAGAGCATGTTCTGAGGAGTGGGAGGCACTACCTAGTAAAGAAACTGTGGCGAAATGTGGAACCAAGGCCACTCGGAGGGGATGTTCTGCCGATCAGCCTCTCAGGTTGCAGCGACTGCTTTCAGAATTATTTGGAGCACCCTGTCCTGTATGTGGAAACTGGTGTGGTTCAGGTCCTTTGGCCTCTGACGCCTGTCTGTGATCTGATTGTGTTTTCCCCTGTGGGGCACTTACACGTCTGTAATGACGGTCCCATGATGAAATGCAGGAACATGATCAAGGAGAAGCCCCATGACAATGAGGGTTCTGGGGCTTTGCAACAGTCATGGGAGGCCAGAGTACGTGGAAAGAGGCGTCTGTTCTCAGGCCTGCTCTATTGTTCGTTCCTTTCCATGTAGACCAGAGTTCTGTGTTTACTGTGCAGATATCATCGGAGCTCCCCGCCAGCTCTTCGTCACTACTGTCAGCCCCAGGGGGTTTCCTAGTCTATCCAAGAGGGGCAGGGGATTTTGTAGTAGAAACACTGGCATTGGTGCAGGCGACGCACACCCAGGGAACCTCGGTGTCAGTGTCCCCTACTTCTGTGCACACTCTCGCCCCAGGGGGCGTGAGGCTTTCCTGGAGCTGCCTGAGTCAGAACTAAGACCTTGGTCAGGGAGAGGAGGCTGTCCAGGAGCTGTCCCACTGGGGAGCCTCAGCTCCAGGCTGATAACTCACCCATTGTCCACAATGGCTCCCAAGATGATGCTGAGGGCAGCCCTGTGGTCCTCACTCTGTGCACTAGTCTCAGCCCTCCCCAGATGGTGGCTGCTTCTGGTGGTCACTGCGATGTCACCTACGGAAGGGTTTTCCCCCAAGTCTTTCATTTTTATTATAAGTCAATTTGTTCTGAAAGGGGTTTCATCCAGTCGTGCCTGCAATGCTGTATTGCACGCCACGTGGAAGGTGGCTATGAACATGGTGGCTGCCAACACAGAGAAATTGCCTCCATGCTAGCCTAGACCATGGGGACAGCAGCATGTCTTAGAGATGCACCAAGACCCTGAAGAGCCTCCTGAGCCTCATCAGGTGCAGAGAAAGATGCAAGGGGGGAAGGAAGATGCCTGAGCCACCCAGCCCAGCCTCTCTCTCTTCCTCAGAGCTGGCTCTCTTTTCTGAGATGGCCCAGCCTGCAAATCTCAAGGTATCTCTAGGACACGGGTGTGAACTGAGCAGGACCCAGGCAGCATATGAACAGGAGATGTGGCTATGTGCCCATCAAACCAAATTCTTGAAAATAAGCAGCCAGCAGAACCATGATTGAAAACTCCCAATCAGGCAGCCCCAGCCTCCAGGAAGCTCTGCTCTAAGCTGTTCTCATGGGCAGTGAGTGACAGGTAAGCTGAGGGCTCTGGTCTGCTCACATCCAATGGGAATGTCTGGGAACAAGGAATGGGGAAGGATTGGGAGCACTGCAGCATCCCCAAATCCTTGGCTCCACTCCTATCTACAGACAGACCGGGAAAACATAACAAGACCACAGGATGCCCTTGTGGGCAGAGCCATGCTGCAGAAAGTGCTACCTGTATACCACCATGGGGGCAGGGGCAGCTGTCCTCTGCTGGGCCTGAGACCCAAACGGATGTGTCGTGGTCAGGGATGGCCAGGCAGGGTTAGAACTGAGGGAGTGGCCACTTACTCCCACCAGCTGGGTCCACTATCGGCTGGAGACATTTCTTCTCAAGGCATGGCTATTAGAGTTGAGCTCACAGCATGTCTGAAGATGCTGTGTGTGTGGCTTTCAATAGGGATGGCTGCATAGCAGGGGCATTTTTCTCTCCTGGTCACACAAACGTGGGGAAGTGTGTCTGGACGCAGCGGCAGGCAGTAGAAGCTGCCAGGTGGGCAGTGCCAGCTGGTGAGGCTTGGAAGTTGAGTTCCTAACTGGCAAGGAGAACAAAGAAACCATGGTTTGACTGTACACACAGCAGCTTGTCTCATATACACAGCTTGCAAGCATACATACACATGAACACATGGCAACCCACTTCATATATACACACATGCATACATACAGAAACCTAATTCATACATACCATCCCACTACCTACAAATATATGTAAACATACACACACACCCCACTTTATACACACATGTGTGACCCATGCACACAAGCCCATGTCAAACAACTATACATGCATGCACAACCCACTTTGTACACACATGTGCACACCAGCTCACACACACACTCCATCTTCACAACCACATCTGCACTGTGTTCTCTTTTTGTGTGCCCGATTCTCACAGGGTGCAGACAGAGACTCTGGGTCTACTCTGCGTTGTTCTATCCGCAGGAAGCCTGTGAGTTTTCTGTCAGTGCTCCAGGGCAGTGCTCCAAAAGCCCACATTGGAGCGTGAATGCAGCCTGATGGGCGGGCAGCAGAGCTGGCACACTCCGAGGTTCAGCTGGGATTAGCTAGTTCCGTGCTCATTAAGGCATTTCATTCTGATAAAATATGTTAAATGAAAACGTGGGTGGGAGAAGAGGCAGAATGTTCTTCCCAAACCTCAGTTAATTGCAGGCGTTTTCCTTGGAAGGAATGGTGTCTCTTCATAAGTGCTCACTCTACCGTACAGGGGACAGATCACTTGTGCATCCAGGAAAGCCTGATGAGAACAGTGGAGCTAGGAGACTAAGCCATGCAGGTGCACAGTAGGAACTGGGCTGTGGGGGTCCGCGTGAACTGAGGCACACCAGTCCATGGTGGAGCGTGGGCTGAGCCACACGGGTCCGTGGCAAAGCATGTGGGGCCATGGTGGAGCATGACTCCCACCAACGGAGCCATGTAGACGTATAGCAGTGTGTGGCATGATCTTACTGGTTCCAAACCACGGAGCTAGCCCACAGCCTCAGTTCATGGTGTGTGAGGAGTGACTGTGAACTTGGGAAGACATTACCCATAAGTGCCAGCCATCTTTTATCCTCAGATGGAGGATGTGTGGTTTAGAACAGAGTGCACTCAGAACCCCTTGTTTATGTGGCAGGGTTTCCAGTTCGGCTCTGTTGAGAGGGAGTGGACCCTTTAGGAGGTGGCAGGCAGGGAGAGGTATCCAAGACGTGACCTTTGACGGGCACAGTGTCTCGGGTGACACCAGCATCCTCCAGACCACACTGGGCTATGAGCAAACAGCCTCCAACATCACACACTTTGTGCCACCAAGACCTAAAGTCATGGAGTCCATTGGTCACATACAGAAACCTCCAAAACCAGGAGCCGAAATAAACCTTGCATCTTTATGTCAGCTATCAGGTGTTCGTCACAGCAATGGGAGGCTGATTAGCACAGAGGAGGGAACCATTAACAGCCCCTGAGCCACTCTGATAGCTCCCGGAGGAACTGTGGGACAGGGCATGGTCCCTAGTCCAGTCCCAGTGCTGGCCTGGACAGCATGGGGCATCCCTTTTCCTTTTTTGGAGATTTGAAGGGAAGAATAGAGAATTCTCCCTTCCATGGCAATCCAGAAGCACCAGCCATCAGCTTTCTGCTTGTCCTTCCCTATTGGGTTCCATGTCTCCAGCGGTGCTGATGGCGCCTAACGGGATGTCAGCACGGGCTTTGAAAGCAGCTCGCTTCTCTAATGTGCTCATGAAGTTTGACTGCTGGCAAGATCCAGGGGAGGATAAAACAGGACTTGTAGAAAGAGGTCTATTCCGCAGCTGAATCTAATAAAAATTCAGAATTCGTTAACTGGGGAGGTTGTCCATGGCGGCAGCACAAATTGACTGGAGACAAGGAGAAGGAAAGCAGTGTTCTTGGGGACAAGTGGTTTAATTTTGGGAACTGATATTTGAGGAGACAAGAAGCCCTGAAAAGCAGTCCATGGGGCCCCTGCTAGAAAGGGGGCCCCAGAAATAGCTGCAGAGGAGACTGGAGGAAGCTGCCACAAATGCACTTTGTGCAGGGACAGTGCCCAGCAGGTGACAAAGGCAGAGTCTGCAGCAGAGACCTCCCAAGCAGCAGTGACGGAACTTCGCAGAGGTCATCTGACCCAGTGACAGCCACAGGCAGCTCAACCAGATGGAAGCTGAGTGTTTTCTTCTCCTGTTTCATGAGTATAGTGTGCACATGTGTGAGCATACATGGGTGGGTGCATGTGCACATGTGACCATTTAAAGTCTAAAAAGGCAGGGGGGGGGAACTGGAAAGACAGCTCAGCAGTCAACACCAGCTGCTCTTGCAGAGGACCCAGATTCTGTTCCCAGCACCGACATGGAGGATCCCATAACCATCTATAGCTCCTGTCCCATGGGATCTGATGCCCTCTTCTGGCCTCTCACATGGGCCAACACACACAGAGAGAGACAGAGAAAGAGAAAGGAGGAAGGACAGGATGGAGGAAATGCTAGTATAAGCATGATCATAGCACACAGAGAGACTCCTCCAAATGAGGTCTGGGTCAAACACTTTTATGTGTTTGAAGATGGGGTGAGTTCCCTTTTACACCCAGAATTGACTGTTTAGCCACTGCAGGGGATTGGATAATCTAGACAGAGAAAGGGGAGACTGGTTCCATAAGAGGTTTGAAAGCTCCACTGAACAGTTCCCTCCAGCAGGAAAGAGCACACCAGGTCTTTGTCTTGAACGAGCAGGAAGTCAGCCATGTTGAATATGTCAGTCTACCGACAGCCTCTTCTTTCTGTCTGTTTTGACTTCTCTTCCCTCTGTTCTGCTTCCTATTTCACTTCCTCAGGGAGCTCATCTCTGAAGTCTTCCTGGGTGTCAAGTGGCCTCCAGTGTTACCTTGGTTACCAACAAGCCTGAGAGTTGGCTCTTCATTTAGCCTGGGGAGGTTCCCACTGAGTAGATGCCACCCTGCCGGCCACTCCCCACCCTCTGAGATGCCCCACTTCTCACCCAACAGAGCTTAAGTTCCTAAAGGGATAGGACCCCCTCAGACCCAACACTGCAGACAG